ATTAGTGGTTTTAACTTTTAATAAATAATAAATCGATTACACCCTGAAAAAATAACTAACTACAAGTATGAAACCATTGGAACCATGTCAGCCTCCTCCAAAAAAACTCGTCTTTCCGGTAGGGCCAGAAAACTTGTAAGAGCAAAAGTAAAAATATGATTTTTTTGATTTTTAAATAATTTATAGGTTTTTTTTAAAAGTTATAATAAGAAATATATATTGTATATTTGTATAAGACTTTATTACATTTTACAATATTTCAACCGTAAAAGTTTCAGAAGCACAAGGTTTGCTGTTTCGTGTTATGAAACTGAAGTTCAGTTTTATGTTGGTTGTGTGGAAAAATATTTTAGCAAAAGCTTATATAWTATCCAACTATTTACAAAACGCATCAATTGATTTAACAACTGCCTTCAATATGATCATAGCTTGTTCAGAAAATATTAAATCCATGAGAACTACTGAACAATTTATAGAAATTAAAAAAAATGTGATTGTGTTGTGTGAAAAATTTGATGAACAAAGAAACAAAAGCAAAAAAAAATGTTTGATGAAATGGGTGTAGATGATCATTTAAATAAAATAGCTGACCAAAGTTTCAAAATTAAAACATATTTTGTAATTTTAGATTCATTCATTAATTTTTTATACACTGCCTGTCAGTAGTGCTACGGCTGAAAGAAGTTTTAGGCGGCATAAATTTATTAAGTCATTTTTACGCTCTACTATGTCTGAAGAAAAATTATCAAACCTTGCAGTACTTAGTATAGAAAAATGTACTGCAGAGAAAATCGATTTTGACAAASTCATTGAAACATTTGCAGAAATGAAAAACAGTAGAAAATTATTATAATAAAATAACTGTAGGTAATATAARTATATACTTTTACATTTTTTGAGCATATGGTGTTGTTTTTTGTTACAAGGTATTAATTTCTAATCCAATTTCATCTCTAATAAATGGCCTCTTGAAATGGCTTGACCCACAGTTCCCAAACTATGGATCCGCCCCTGGTCGGYGATRATATAAGTCGGCTCAAATACGGTCGGCGGTAATATTTGTTGGATAAAATACTGTCGGCTAAAATATTTGTTGGATAAAATAGTATCGGCTAAAATACGGTTCTGCTAATATACTYGTCCAATCAATTATTTTTCGACTGAAATATTTTTCGGCTAAAATACGGATCGGCTGAAATATTTTCGGCTATTTTACGCACTCCCTATTTTAGTTACTTGATTTTAATGAGACCTTTTTGTAAAAAAGTTGCTACGTATTAATAGTTAAGAAATAGTTAACTACAATAATAATATGCTTTGTACTATGCATCGAGCCCGAACGATTGGTAAAATGATAAGCAATGCAAAATAATGTACACATAGCCTATTAATAGATATATTTGTACCCYCCATACTATTTACAACAACACATAAATGGTAATTCTAATTTCATATATCCAGTATCTTATTTGGACAAAAATACAATTAACTATTTACATTAACATGTTTTCGTATTGGTATTTTTCATTTTAAACAATTCGTCGACTTCTATTTAAATCGAAATTGTGTACACTTAATACAATCAAATTTTTTGAAT